GAGAATCCAATGTTGAGAGTCTTTCTCCATCTCTCCTTGACCTTAATTCTCTGTGCAAGAAGTAAAGGTAATACTGCAGGTAAATTAAAACCAACCAACATCTTCTACGTAGCCATTAACAAAGCCACCAGTCTAACCGCAGCCACCAGGGCATCATTTTCTCCCTTCACAACGTTCAAAGCCTCTCCATTATGTGGTTGCTGTTGTTAAGTGCTGTCAAGTCGGTTCTGACTCATAGCGACCCACTATAAGGTTTCTGAGGAGAGGCTGGGGAGTTTGAACTGCCGACCTTGAGGTTCAAACCGACTTTGTGGTCCAGTGCATTGTCCTTCAGCACCACACCAAGACTCCTCTATTACCTTAGGGGTATAAGTAGTTTAGACTTCTCAGTGAGCCTAGTACAATCTGGATCCAATGTCTTGTTCCACTTGCATATGAAACTCATACCTTTACCCCAAGTAAATATGGTCTGCTCTGTTGTTTTTCTTGTTGAGTGCCTTCAAATGGATTCTGATTCATAGTGACCCCATGTGACATAGCTGAATGGTACCATAGGGTTTTCTAAGCTGAGAGCCCCGGTGTTGTAGTGGGTAAGCACTTGTATGGTAACCGACAGGTTGGCAGTTTGAACCCATCGGTTGCTCCAGGGAAGAAAGATAAGGCAGTTTGCTCCCATAGTAACATACAGGCTTAGAAACCATGTAGAGCGGTTCTACTCTGTCTCTATGAGCTGGAATCCATGTGAAAGGAACAGAGTTGTTTGTATGTCTGTCTGCTTTTCAGTCTTGGTGGCAGGAGACCCCCCAGGTCTTTCTCCTTTGAAACTCCTGTATGGATTCAAACAGCCAGTCTTTCAATTGCACCATGAGAGTTCCTTACAGTCTGCTTTAGACACCCAAAACATCTCACTCTTCCCCCAAATAGACCCCACCTTATATCTTTAGACAGGTTGCTCTAGAATCTTCTCTCCCAACTTCTTTGGACCTACAAACTAAGAAACTGAGCCTTCAAGTTGCTGATGTATACAAGGCATTTCTTACTGATCATGGTCCTGCCTGGGAGCATCTACTCTGCATCCAAAGTCAACCCATATGTCATCTCCTGAGAACGTTTCCTGGGTCCTCAAGGCAGAACTCATCACTCCCTTGACCTTGATCTCCTAGCATCGTGCCCTTACATCTATAGTAAAGAGCCCCAGTGGTTTAATGATTAAGCACTCAGCTGCTAACCAAAAGGTTGGCAGTTCCAATTCACTTAACAGCTCTGTAGGAGAAAAGACCAGGTGATCTCTCCTTTAAAGATGACAGCCCAGAACGGTTGAGCACAGGGTAGGGGGCAGTCACATCACAGTTTGGGTGCTGGGGAGGGCAGTGCACAAGAAGGGGGAGGGGGTGAACAAACAAGGTAGATAGGGAAACACTGAGACAGCTTTGCATGGGCTAAATGGAACAGAGGTAAATAGTGATGCATGCTCAACCTTGGAACAACAGGGCTCTGTGATACAGGGATCAAGGCACAGTTCAAAGAGGGGAAATAATGCTAAGATGCTTGACTGCCTTATGTATATTGATTTCCCTTGCCTACTATTGTAAAATGGATACTTGAGTTGGATAGAAAGGAAAGTTGGGGAACATGCTTTAAAAAAAACCCAACGCTATGGGGCAGCTCTATTCTGTGTCACGGGGTCATTGTGAGCTATAACTAACTCAGGGCACCAACAACACCTACAGTAATATTTACCATGTGAACCAAGTTCTGCTGCTTCTGTCTGCTGCTGCTGGTCTCCCCGACAGAACATTCCACTGTGTTCACAGTTTCTTGTTTTCTCAGCATTTAAGGTGGTGCCTGGTACCTCGTGGTGAAGGTGTAAATGTGTGTGGTAAGAATGCACTCACAGTGGGGGCTGAATCCTGGCCCACATCCCTGCTCCATGAACCCAACCCCAGGCTTTAGTTTTCCTACTGCAGGCTCAGTTCACCCCAGACCTTCTCTGCACCAAGATCCTCCAGCTTCCTGACAAAAGACTCCCTGAGGTGCTTGCTTTCCAAGCACATCCCCTTTCCTTCCTTGAAATAAAGTTGGACTGAGGAGTCATCAGTTTATGGTTGAGGAAGTATATTTGTCCAGAGACATCCAGAGGTCAGGATTGATCCTGGGTCAGAAGAATCGTGTCTAGAGATCTGTGTGATTCCAGATCAAAGGAAAATGATGGAACTCATGCCTGCTCTGGGATTTAAATGAAATGAGACAGTAGAACTGGACATTCTATGCAAGGTTTGCTCTGGAGTAATTTTAGAGGTCCTGATGGTGTAACAGTTAAGCACTTGGTTACGAACCAAAAGGTTGGTGGTTCAAACCCATCCACTGATTCTGAGAACGAAAGATGAGGCAGTCTACTTCCCTAAAGATGTACAAACTGGGAAACTATATGGGCAGTTCTGTTCTTTCTTACAGGGTCACCACAAGTAGAAATGGACTCAAAGGCACCTAACAAAAGCAACAAGGGTTCATGCTAAAGGCATACAAAGACAAATGAAAGATATTACTCTACATTCCACTCAACCTTTAGCTTAGTCTTAAGTCATAGTACTTCAGAAAGCCTACCTATGCCTCAACACGGGGCCCAATTCTCTTCCTGTAACACCTAAGGTCTGTCTCAGGAGGGCTGAACATTGCAATGGCTGGAGTCCTTGTCTGCCACTCTGCTGGTGTGGCTTTTGTATGCTATCAAGTCAGCTCTGACACATAACGATCCTGTATAGAGTTTCCAAGGAGCAATTAGTGGATTTGAACCACCAGTCCAGTGCTTACCTTACAGCTTCACACCAGATACAGAACTTCTAAATAGCCCTGAGTAAAACAAAAATTAGAAAGTATTTTAAACAGGCTGAAAACACAGCATATCAAAAGTTTTGGGATGCAGCTAATGCAGCACTTGAGGAAAATTTATAGCACTGAGTATTTCTTTTAGAAAATTCCTAATCAAAACCTCTTCTTCCACCTTTGTTGCTTTTGTTGTTAAGTGCTGTCGAGTTGGTTCCAATTCATAGTAACCCTGTGTAGGGTTTCCAAGGAGCTGCTAGTGGATTTGAACCACCAACCTTGTGATTAGCATCCAGTGCTTATTCTACACAACTACACCAGGACTCCTCTGGTGGTGGTGGTGGTGTGCTGTAGAGTTGATGCTGACTCATAGCAACCCTGCATAGGGTTTCCGAGGCTGTAAATCTTTACGGAGCAGAAAGCCTCATGTTTCTCCCGCGGAACAGCTGGTTTTGAACTTCAAACCTTGAAGTTGGCAGCCTGATTCGTTAACCACTACACTACCAGAGCTCCTTAGGACTCCTCTGGTAGACTGTACATTCAGACAAGGTAGGGACGGTGCCATATTTCTTCTAGTATTCTCAGAACTTCTCTTATTGTCTGCCTCCTAGTAGATAATCCAGAAATAGTTGTTTAATTAGCTTAAATTAACTATTCCTCATTCTAAGAATCATAGTGGTACAACGGTTAAGCACTCAGCTACTAAACAAAAGACTGAGAGTTTAAACTCACCTAGTTGTTACATGGGAGAAAACCCCAAACCAAACTCAGTGCCATCAAGTCAATTCTGACTTGTAGTAATTTACAGGACGGAGCAGAGCTACACCATAGGGTTTCCAAGACTGTAAACCTTCATAGGAGCAGACAGTCTCTCTTCCCCCCAATCTTACTCCCGAAGTCCAATGCTTTCTTCCTACTTGGGCAAAAGCAGAGTCAATCTGCTTCAGTAAAGGTTGTTTTCTTGTTTAGTGTCATCTAGTCGGTTCTGACTCCTAGTGACCCTGTTCAGGGTTTCTAAGGCTGTAAATCTTTGTGGAAGCAGAAAGCCTCATCCTTCACCTGTGGAGTTGGTGGTTGCGGTTCACAGTCCAGTACTGATATGTAGACACCACAAAGATTGTTGTTGCTGTTAAGTACTGTGGAGTCGGTTCCGACTCATAGCGACCCTGCACAGGGTTTCCGAGGCTGTAAATCTTTACGGGAGCCAAAAGCCTCATCTTTTTCCGGTGGAACAGCTGGTAGTTTCGAACTGCTGACCTTGAGGTTGGCAGCCCAACTCCTAACCACTACACTACCTTGTGGGGCACTTGTACTCTTCCTGGAGGATCTCTTTAAAATCGAATGTGCTCCATGACATACAACCACCGCCTTCCTCATTTCACACCTCCGGTGACCAAGCACACTCAACCAAGTCCCCAGAATGAGGCCCTCCTTCTCACAGACCAGGAGGGCTGAGGACTGTGGGTTCCTGCTACCCACACTACGCTGTAAACACGGGTTATGGTCCAACGCGTACCAGCAGCGAGGAGAAGGAATTCTGTCATATCCACCGGAGGTTCCTGAAGGGTTATGGAGAAAGAGACACGATACTGAGTGGGATTTCTAGGGCGGAAGGGAATCGGGGGTGGGGGTGGGGGTGGGAAGAACTAGCTCAAGGAAAGGCGGAGGGGATGGAAAAGTTTGGTTCTGATCTGCAACCAGAAAACCAAAAACCCGAAGAGTGGGAGGCGGTGATTTGGAAACTGGTTTCAAGTCTCGGAGTGGGGCATGGATTTGGGCCTCTTGTACATCCTGAGTTTTTAGCGAAGTGTGAGCGAAGGGACCTTGGTGATGGGCCCGGCCGCGCCCCCCGGGGGCGGATGTCCCCGCCAGTCTCGTTCGCAGGCAGGGCGCGGGCCGAACCTGGGTGGGGAGCAGGCGCCCCAGGGGGATGACTCAGGCTTGGCTATGCGCGGGCTGGAGCGTTCCAACTCCGAGTTCGCGCCCTGAGTCTCGGGTCGGACAGAGGGGATAAAACGGTCCCTGCGCGGTGTCTGCAGCGCTGCTGGCCGGCCTCCGGTCACCCGGGCAGTCACTCAGCCCTCCCCGAGCGCGGGCGCAGACCGGCGGAGTGCTCAGGTGGCCCGGGGACCCTCGGGGACGAAGCTCCCAGCGCTTGGACGCTCTGCCCGGAGGACATGGCGGCGGAGACCCGGCCAAGCCTGACCTCCATTTCGTCGGGCGAACTGCGCAGCCTGTGGACGTGCGACTGCGAGCTGGCCTTGTTGCCTCTGGCCCAGCTGCTGCGCCTGCAGCCCGGCGCCTTCCAGCTGCGCGGGGACCAGCTGACCGTGCCGGGCCCCGGGGAGCCCACGGCCGCACGCGGGGGCTTCAACGTCTTCTCTGATGGCGTGGTCCGCCTTGACGCCCAGCTCTACCGCCTCAGCAGCTACATCAAGAGGTGGGTGGTCCCCGCCGAGGACCCCACTCTGCTGCCTTCCCTGGGAGCCTGAGTCCTCTCTTCCCACCACCCTTCTGGGCACCCCCTCCACCACACCACTTCTCCTAGTTAATGTGCCCTGTCCTTTGCCCAGATATTTGCAGCTGCAGCTTGAAACCATCCCGAGGGGTGAGGGGTGGGGGAGACACCTCTGTCTGGCCCAGGGGGCGCACAGGGTGAGAGTGCTTGAGTTCCGTTGTTCTCCCCCAAAGCATAACGGGTGCATTGCATTCCAAGGACTCCTCAGCTGGGTTGAGCTAGGGCACACCCTTCAGGGAATGTTTGCAGTTGAGAAGGAGAGAGACTCACTCTCTGGCTTTAAATTTGAGGTGTGGAGGTCCTGGTGGAGTAGTGGGTTAAGGAATCTTAAGCTCAGCTGCTAACAGAACGGTCAGCGGTTCGAACCCAGCAGCCACTTGTGGGAGAGAGATGTGGTTGTGTGCTCCGTAAAGATACAGAGCCTTGCAAACCCACTGGAGCAATTCTCCTCTGTCCTGTGACTAGATGGCAGTGGATTGGGCCTGGCTACGTTGGGGGAAGATACCACGTTCTCTTCATTTCTAATTTTATTTTGTGAAAAGATACAAAGGTTCTGCAGGTGGGGTGGAGGAGTGAAAGGCAAAAGTTCAAAGTTTCCCATCTCTGACCTCTGGCTGTGTTTCCAGACAGGGATAAACCAAGCAGAGAACAAAGCTGGAAAGGAAGGGACAGGGAAGTTCTGAGAAAATACGGCCCCGGATGTCCTCAGAGTTTCCAGAATGGCAGCTCAGAGCTGGGCCCAAACCTAGAACCTTGGTTTGAGGGAGGTCCCTGGGATGTTGAACTGCTATTGCCAAAGGGCCTCTGGGCCCTTGAGCGCTTCTCAGGAGAGACCATTGGAGCAGGCTTTGATCTTGCTCTTGGTTGGGTAGATCCATGATTTTGCTCTGTCCTCTTGACGTCGTCACCCAGGAGGGCACAGTCCTCTTATATGTGTGCTTTGGGATGGAGAGTTGGGAAGGGGGCAGATTCAGACTAAAGTTTGACTCAGAGATGAGTCAGGTGGCCAGTTATTAAGACCCAGTGCTGTTGGGAAGACGTATGAGCTGTGGGACCCTATGGAAGAGATGGAGTCGGGAGACTCCAGCAAACAAAATGAGACATTCCAAATGCCTTCTTTAAAGGTGGTACAGGGGATTGAGCAGTGGGCTGCTAACAGAAAGGTCAACGGTTCAAACCCACCAGCCACTCGGCAGGAGAAACATGACTGTCTGTTCCCCCAGAGACTAACAGTCTCAGAAACGCTGAAGAGCAGTTCTCCTCTGCCCTCTAAAGTCTCTGAGTCAGAATCCACTCAATGACTGTGGGTTTGTTACTGGAAAACAACAGCAACTTATTCTTCCAAACAAAGATACTGAGGGCTTTGAACCTCTGAAAAACCACTCCCCAACAACAAGTTATTTCTCCCTTTCTTAGTGAAATGGGAATTACCACCCAGAAGTAGGGGGATAGGGGGAAGAACTGAGTTCAAAATCAAAATTTCAAAGATTAAAAGAAACAAAACAAAAATGACCATTGGATTTGAGAACAGAACATGAGAAAAAAAAATTTCCTGACTTAATTGAAGCCTTGGGTTAGGTGTTTGACCAAACAAGTTTCCCTAATCTTAGCAAAATTGCTGTAGAATTTAAAATAATGTTGAAATGTGGTCCCTGGAACTCTTGCTTTGACAATTTTCTACACAAATTAAGCAGCAGTTTAATCTGGCAGCTGTACATCCTGACAAGGGCTGGTAGGTCCGACTTGCTGACCTTTTGGTTTGCAGTCAAGTGCTTTCACCAGGATGATACAAGGGATTCTGGGTTCGATTCCTGGCTAATGCATCTCGGGTATAGGTACCACCCATCTGTCTATGGGCTACTATGATGCTGAAGAGTTTTCAGCGGAACTTTCACACTAAGACTAAGAAAAAAGGCCTGGTGATGTACTTCCAAAATTCAGCCCAGTAAACCCCAATGGACCACAATAGTGGGATCAGCAGCAGATCATGGAGATAGAACATCTATCTCATCCTGTGGTGCATGGGGTGGGTGGTTGTGAGCTGGGAACTGACTAGGGAATCAACATTAGCCAAATACTTGGCAGATGTTATTTTACTCATGGAGTACCTTGGTTAGCCAGATGTTACCAGTGAAGAAAATGAATCTCAGAAAGATTAAACATTAGTCTGAGGTCACAGAGGCAAAAATCAAACCCACATCTGGTGATTCATTGCTGCCTTCCTTCCTGGGTGACACACTCTGGTCTTCAGCCGCTGTCTGCCTTCTGTTGTCTATTTGAACTTCTTACTGTGAATTGGGTGAAAGTTTACAGAGCAGATCATCACTTTTCCATTCAACAATTCGGACACATTTTGTTTCATCTCCCTGATTACAATCCCTACCATGTAGCATCACTCATCCCACTTCCTGTGTTCCCCATTGACATCCCCTCTTCTTCCCCAATCCCTGAACCCTTCTGAACTTGGTCTTCTTTGCATCTCAAGTAGCTGATGATTCTCAGGTGTGGGAACCTCCTCAGTGTTATTGTCCTCCTTAGAGATCTATTGTTTGACTGGAAACTGAGTCTTGGGCGCGAGTTCAGTTCCAGACCTGAAGGGTGGCAATGAACCAGAGTCTCAGGGGTCCACCAGTCTCTCTCTGATCAGTAAGCCTGGTCTTTTTTAAAATTATTTTTATGATTTTGAGGTTTTCTCCCATTTTTCTCTATTCAGGACTTTTAATGTGATGCCTTTCAGAGTGGTTGACCAGTGGTTGACTAGGCACCGTCTAGTTCTTGTGGTCTCAGGGTCCTGGAAGCTGAGGTTTTCCTGACCCATTAGCATATTAATTAGATTGTTTCCATGAATTTTTTATTTTCTTCTCTCTTCTTTGCTCTGGATAGAGAGAGACCAATCATTGCACCTTAGATGGTCAATCACAAGCGTTTAAAATCCCAGTCGCTACAAATCAAAATGCTCTCTGTGGATTCTGCAGTGCCATCTGCCCTGTTGTCTACTATTTCTGTGGAGTTGCTTCTGACTCAGGTAGCCCTGGCGTGGTGCTGTAGGACAAACACTGGACCATAAGATCCTTTGAACTGCAAAGTTGGTGGTTCAAACTCACCGGCGGCTTCTCGGAAACCTTATAACAGGGTTACTAGGAGTTGGACCCAACTCGTTAGCACTTAACACGATGGTGATTCCAGGTGTGCAAAGTAGAACTGCTTCATAGGGTTTTTTAGGATGTGCCCTTTTGGAAGCAGATAGCCAACCCTTTCTTCCAAGGTACCTTTGGGTAGATTCAAACCGCCAACTTTTCAGTTAGTAATTGAGCCCCTAATCATTTGTGCCATCTAGGGACACTGCTGGCTGGATGCAGCTCCCCAAAGTCCCCAAGGTGACGCTTCTAGTATCTGTCAGTTTAGTAGATGATTCTAACTAACTCTGGGCCCTTCCCACTTGCTCCCTTGTATTTAAATGTATTTAAATGAGCGAGCCTGAGCCAGTGGAGTGTGGGCCTATGGATACAGAGAGTTGTGTTTTCTTTTCACATTCTGGAAACTTCCATATAAGGAGTCCTGGGGGGCACACGATTAAGCAGTCTTCTGGTAACCCAAAGGCTGGCGATTCGAACCTACCCAGCGGCTCCACGGGAGAAATATCGGACACTCTGCTCCCATACAGATGACAGTCTAGGAAACCCTGTGGAGTAGGTAGACTCTGAGCTGGAATAAACAACACAACATGCTCTGAATGCCGGCAATGCCTTAGCCCAGTGTTTCTCAAACTTTAAATACGCATCTCCTGAGTACGAGGAGACGTCAAAGAGTTCGTGGGAAAATTCATTAAGGCTGAAGTCCATTTTCCCACAAACATTTTGAAGTCTCCTCCTACCGTCTCTAAATGCAGTGCTTCTGAATAAAACTTGCGAAGGCTCCGGGATTCTGCATTTTTACATGCGTGTCTGTGTGACGCTAATACTTGTTTCTTTGCTTCAGAATATTTTTGTTAAAATTAATGTTGTTGTTTTTTTGTTGTTGAGTATACACAGAATATACACCAATTCAACCATTTCTTCCTATACCATCCAGTGACATTAATGACATTCTTCAAGGTGTGGAACATTGTCACCCTGAGAATGGTTTCTGAGCGGTTCCTCCCCATTCACATCAATTCATTGACCCATTAAGGTTCCTACTGAATCGTTTCAAGTTACTGTGGTCAATTTGATTCTAGGTAGATTGATTGAACAAGTACAATGCTCAACAAGGCAGATGTTCATTATTAATTAAGCTAATTGATTTGGTTTAAAGGGGATTTCAGGGGCTATTTTTAGTTTAAGGTTTAAAGACTATCTCAGAGCAACAATTTCAGGGATTCATCCAGCCTCCATGACTCCAGAAGTCTGGATTCCATGGAAGTTTGAAATTCTGTTCTGCATTTCCTCCTTTTTGTTCTGGACTCTTCTATAGAAACTTTGATCAAAATATTCAGTATTGGTAGCTGGGCACCATGCAGTTCTTCTGGTCTCATGGCAAAGGAGGCATCCTTTAGCCCGACATCCCATATCCTCCTCCTATTCCTGGCTCTCCTTCTCCCTTTGCTGCTCCAGGTGAATATGAGGAGACTTCAAAAAGTATGTGGAACAATTCCATTAATTTTCATTCCATTTTCCCACAGATTTTTTTGAAGCTCCCTCATAGAGACCAGACCAATGGCTAGACCTCAGATGGCCATTTACACGCTTTTAAGACCCCAGGTGCGACATGACGCTAATATTCTTGGTCCGAGGGTCATATCTCAAGTCATAAGGCCTTGCCCACCTACCATTTCATACTGAAATGGTGTATTTATGATCTCCCAGTAGGCTGCATGCTACTGTTTGGAAACAAGTCCTTTCCTTTTAATTTTTCATCTTTGTGTAGCAGCACATAGCAGGTGC